CAGTTTGGTCCAACTCTTTAATGTACCACGAACTTTAAGCCAATCGCTCATCACAATAACAGTTGGATCTTTAAAAGAACTTAGAAGTTCATCTGCAAATCTCTTTTTTTCCATTCGATAATTCTTTCTTTGAGCTTTATATGATTCTTTCCTTGTTAATTTACAAGAATCAAAGGACTAAAATAAAAAATTGTATATAAAAATATATAAATTTGTATAAAAATAAAATAATTTTATTTTAAATGTTTTAAAACAAATTAAATATTTTCTACCTTATCAGAAACATTATCTGTTTTTTGATTTGCTTCTCCCATTGATGTAGATAATCCTATAACAAATAAATTATACAAAATTGCATGATTAAACATTAATCAAGTATTGATATTATAAAAACATAAAAATATAATTATAATTACAAAATTTAATTTAATAAATAAATCTTAATATTTACAAGTAGTTATGAAAATATTAAATAGTCATTATTTATATCGCAGTATAGAATATAACTATATTGTTATGGTTTTAATATAAGTTATATGATTTCAAATAATGTATGTTATACATTATAATAATATTATGAATAACTATTAAATAAATAGATAAAAAAATAAGATTTTTATGAATATTGAATATTTATGAATATTTTCATATTAAAGTGTTTATAAAATGATTAAGATATACAGATAACAATATTTATTATAAATTAATAGATAAATGATTTTATGAATTTTAAACAATAATTTTAATATACTTTTTTTCATTTATAATTAATTAAAACCAAAAGCATTAGAAATAATCAAGCTCAAATCATTCACACAAAAAACTTGGCAAGTATTTTAATTTTAAGAAAATGTAAACTTATTGATTTATAAAAAAAAATTCCAAATTAAAAGATAATTAAATTTTTAAAATTAAAAAAAGAAATAGGATGCAATTCGTTTAATTAAAATAATTTTGTATAAATAAAATTATTTTATATAATAAATCTCAGTAACATAACGCATTATGCAGTTAGCATCTTTTCAAAATAGATTTTAATTCCAGGTTCTTTTTATCTGTATAAAAATATTTAATAAAAAATATTAATTGCATTTATTTTAATTATAAATTAAATAACATAAGACTTATAAACTATAAATTTATATATAATTATTATACAAAAATATTATTTACTTAAAATTTATATTCGTAGTAAAAATCTATTTAATATATATCATCTTTCAGCCAAAGATATATATAAAAATTACATTTCAGAGCTTATAAATCTGAATAATAAAATATGCATGATATATATAAAAAAAAAAAAATATAAGCCAAACAGGAATAAAAAATATGCAATTCATTATAGCTAATCAACTACTTGAATAAGTAAAAAATAGTATTAATTACATAAGGAAAGCACCTGATAAAGTTTGAATTATTGTCCATTATGATATTAACATAGCTTTGTGTTTATACCTGGAGATAGTGGAGGTGCAGCAGTTGCAAAATTTACACTTGTTGATAGGGACTCTGTTGATGGAAGTTTAGGTAATGTTGCAGATTGAACTTGAACACTGCTTCGTCGAAGTTGTTGATCCACTGGTTCTATATATTTAGTTTTATGTTTTCAAACATAATTACTATTTATCAATATCTTTACAACTGTTTCAGAAAAATATATTTTTCAAATTTATTTAGATATCTATCTTTTAAAATCACAAACTCTTTAAATTTTTCAACTCTAAACTATTCAACAGCAAAAATTCTAAGATTAAATTACATCATATTGCATTCTAGTAAAGTATAAATTTAGTTTTTTGCAACACTAATTGTGAATTGCTAATAATGTTAATTTTCAAAGAGAAGATTTGTAAACATAATTATATACAATATAGCTCCAAGTTTTAATTTAATATATTAAATTGCAAAAAACAAATAAATATATACATCTATTAAGATATATAAAAATATAAATTTATTAGGAATATTTACATGCATAAAAAGAAACATATTTTTAAAATATATATTACATTGTATATATTTTGAATATTCATAAATATCTTTCTACTTAAAAAACTTCTAAAAATTATAAAGCAGGAATAATTTAATAACAAATTTAAATATTAACATGCATCAATTTTATTACATAACATGTAATTATTCATGCATTAAAAATATTAAAATTATAAAAATTTATTCTAAAAAATAAAATTTACATACAATACTCCTTAAATAAACATATGAATAAATGTCCATATTATATAAAAAAGTATAATATACTAAAAATAAAAAAAATGTGCTAACAGCATAAATGTATTATGTTAATCTGATACATTTAATAGCATAGCGTTTTAATAATTCTAATAATATAAGTTACTTTTTTGTTTAATGACAATATTAATGAAGATCATATTTAAATATTAAATGAAATCAATTTGTGTGTTATAAATTTTATTTATAATTTATTTGATAAGATGATGATATAAGAAGTTATTGGAAATGAGAAAATGCTAATAATAATATGTAATCTGAAAATAGAATATTATATATATATATATATATATATATATACACACACATATATACATAAAAATATCTGTGTGTATACACACATCTACTTATTCACTTCTGTAATTCTAATATCGAGGCTTGCTACTATATGCACACAATATATATTAATAAGCCTACCTAGCTTACTTGGTAATGTACCATATCCACTGTCATTAATACCTTTAAATAGTAGTTCACATAATATTTTATTTATTATTAAAATAATAAATAATCATTAAAATATAATATATAATTAATAAATATCAATATAACGTATAATATATAATAGATATAATATTATATATATAATATATAAATATCATAATATGTATATATAAATATATATAAGTTCATGTATTTCTTTATAAAAAAAATATAACAAATTAAAATTAAATATTAGAATAAACAATATATATATAAAGAAATTATTTATGAAATTTATTAATTTGTAACAAAGATTTTTTGCTTATTTTATATTTTTCCGATACAAATATATAATTTTCATATATATATTATATAATTATACGTATAATTAAATTGATATCTATATTTAATCAATTATTATAATCAATTATTCACTAATAATATTTCTTAAATTTTCATGATATATTTATTTTTAAGAATATAAGTCAATAAAAAAGTCAATTTAACATATAAAATTTAATTCAATATAATACTTACGATTACTCAATGATCTGCTTACATTTGGTGGTGTCATAGTTTTAAAAGATTCAGAAGTATTTCCAACAGACATAGAATGAGTTTCTGATTGTGATCGATGTTCACCTCCAGGTACCACAATTGGTTGGGAAATCATTATGAATCTGCATTAAGTAATATTTTTAACATACATAATTTTATAATAAAATATTAAAAAATAAATAGATAAAATAGATGGATATTTAAAAATATTAATATTTATAAGCTACACTAAAAATATAAAATAATAAATATACATATATATATTATAATAAATAATAATCCTCAATTATTAATAATTGCTAAAATTAAAAAAATTATATAAAGCAATAAATAATTTATGTAATACAATGAATAATATATGTAATTATAAAATGCTATGTAATGATGGTTAAATGCCATTTTACTTTACATGATACAATTTTTTACAAATTAAGCGTAAAGAGATAATAACAATTAACTAAATAAAAATAACAAAAAAAGATATATGTAAAATATGTCATTCGTTATTTATATGATCAAAAGTATATAAATTTATTTTTAAAATAAATAATTAACTACAAATACATATTACGTAAAGTAATCATAACATACCTGATTTTGAACAATTGTTTGTCCAGTCAATACTTGTGTTATAATAATTTATTACACTTGGAAAAAAATGTTAGAGCACAAATAAAAAATAAAAATGTAAAATTTATATATATTCACTATTATATATAAAATTAAAATTATTGAATTTAATACATATATATATTTGCAAATTAAATAATTTTTTTATTGATGTAAGAACAAACATTCGAAGCAAAGAAAGAGATATATGTATATCGATGTCAGACTACGACGGCGCGAGCGCGAAGTCCGATGTTCCATTGATCACTTACTAATAACATATGGATCTGCCAAGTTACTCGCAATCAAAACGTACGACGCATAAATGTCGTAAATATATTTTCTGTTATTGATGTAAAACTAATGAAATATAAACATTTTAATGAATGAGAATTACTTGTCAGAATAATAAAATATATATTAAAATTATTAAATAATTATGCAAATTGATGCAATCCAATTAAATTCATTATTCAATTAATCAATGAAATATATAGAAAGAATAAAAATATTTATTAAACCATAGAATAGAAAAGTCATAGAAGAGTAAATATTTCTTATAAATCTTCTTAAATTCTTATAATACAATTTTGATGAACAACTTCAGATATTAATATAATATTTTGAAAATTATTAATAAGAATATGTAATATATAATTATTATCGATGAAAAAATAAAAAAATAAATATTACGTATTAAATGTTACACGTTTGATAATATAAATTAATTGATTGTATTAATTTTTTATTTATCGAAATTTATTAATATCCAAATTTATATCTTTATATTTTATTTTATGCAATTAAAATAAATAATATAGAAATAAATCTATATATTATATTTAAGTAATAAATTCAAACTTGAATAGAAATTTAAAAGAAATATTTAAATAATAAATTCAAATTTAACTTTCAAAATAAAAAAATATAATGGTTATCATTACGTCACAATGACGTAATCATTATCATAATAAATAAGAACATTTTTTTTTATTTTTTTGAAAATAATTTAATATATTAAATAATTTTTTTTGTTAAATATTTTTTTTAAATAATATAATCCACTTTTTTATTTATATTTAATTTTCTTTATATAATTATAAGATTATACATATATCGAAATATATATTTAATTTCATTGAACTTACCTATGTCTATGTTCATCTTATATTTATTTTAATAAAGGTAACTAGAAAAGCTATAAGTAGTATTTACTGAACTTGCAAGTGTAATTGGTAAAGGTTGTAATTATTATTTTGTATTATATTTTATTTAATATTTCTTATTTGATTTATTATTTCTATTGTAGAAAAATATTGTAGAAAAGCATAAATCTATATAAATATTTATAATTATTAAATATAAATATTCGATTAAATTATAATTTTAAAGAAATATGAATCGCCATCCAACTACGGACTATAAAAATCGTAGCGAGCCTCAAGTAGAATTGGAAAGTCAATTTATTTTGCGTTTACCACCGGTAAATTTATTGTTTTAATATATAACCTGAATTATTTAAAATTATGAATTGAATTAGAAATGATTAATTTTTTAAGGAACCAGCAAGAGTTTTACGAGAAACATTACGCAATGGATTATCTTTAAAAGATAGATTAAGTATAAAATTGGAAAATGATATGCGTTATGGTGAGGTTAGATTTGATCATTGGCTTCTTCATGGAAAAGTAAGATATTTTTCTTATTTATATAAAAATAACATGCATATACATAAATATAATAATTTTAAAAAATATGTTATATCATTAGATTGTTGATTTACCAACAATTGTAGAATCTTTGAAAACTATTGATAACAAAAGTTTCTATAAAACTGCTGATATATGTCAGGTAAAAAATCAATTTTAATTTATTCATTACTTATTAGTTCTATTCTATTTAGTTTCATTTTATTTGATTATTCGTAGATGTTAATTTGTAAAGAAGAAGATGATCATACTACTACAGATGAAGAATCTCCAGTTAGACAAAAAAAAAAGATCCCAATAAAGTAGATAAAAAGTTTTTATGGCCACATGGTATAACTCCTCCTACTAAAAATGTTAGACGTAGGAGATTTAGAAAAACCTTAAAGAAGAAATATGTAGAAGCTCCAGAAATTGAGAAAGAAGTAAAACGTTTATTAAGAGTGGATAATGATGCAGTTAATGTTAAGTGGGAAGTAATATGTGAAGATGAAGATCAATCAAAACCAAGCAAAGTCTCATCATCTGGTACAGTGAAAACTAAAAGAGAAAGTATTAGTGGTAATACTTCTCAAAGTCTTGATGTTGGTAAGTGATGTAAAATGAAATATATAAATGATAAATTAATTAATGAATAAAATTATATAATAATAATATTTTTAATTTATAGCGGAACATGATATATTTGGTGAACCTGTAAGCGATAGTGAAGAAGATGATGAAGAAGGAAATATAAATGTAATGGAACTAGATGAGAACAGTCGCCTTTCTGCAGATAGTAGAGTATCAGACTCCAATTCAATGCAAGCTACATATTCTGAAAGGTCTAACAATAATACAGCAACAAGTAGTAATCTTGTTACAGAATTCAGTAAAGAAATGTTTCAAAATGATAATAATATAGAAACAGAAATAGAAAAATCAGAAGATACATCTCCATCAAAAATAGCTAAAGTTGAACAATTTCATTCAGAATATATTATTTCAGAAAATTTTACAGAATCTCCTTCTGCACCAGTAACAAAAGGTATAATTATATTTATATATGCATTATTTTTCTGGTAAATAATTCATATTTAAACATTATAGATTCATTACAAACACGTCTCGCAACTTTGCATGCGGAATTAGCTGAATTACGTCAAAGAAGACAACAACAAGAACTTGAAATAGCCAATATAGAAAATGTTAAGTTAAGACAAAGATTTCAAGAAATATTAGATAATTTACTAACTCAAGAAATGCAAAAAGTACAAGAGGTATGTATTATATATTTATATAATTTTGAATAATAATTATATCATCATAATGTTTCAGATTCAAGATTTAGAGTTAGGATAGTGTTGATATACCATGAAGTTCTTGCCAATGCAATTCTTTCTAATCAAATTTATGTATTGTATTTTTCTTATTTTTAATCTTTTTGTATAATATAATATATTTTATTATTTAAATATGATATTGTATACTATTCCTTATTATACATATTTTTAACATGTATGTATATAAAATGTATATAAAATATACAAAACATTAAATAAAATATAAATTTTTTTCACAATTAATCAGCTATTGCAGATTAACAAAACTATAATTAATATTTAAAAAAACATGATTTATTAAAAATTTCAAAGCATTTTATGTTATGCAATATATACATTTTAATATAGACAACCAATTGTCAAATTCCAAGTCGCCGTACAATGCATAACCATGAAATGCACCAATGAAAGTCCAGCTTGAGTATTCGACTACGACATTCAAGATACAACAGGACGACCGTAATGGCTGACTCTTATTGAATATAAATGCGTTATAGATTCTTATTTTGTTGTAGTGTCAAACACTAAAGTCCTGTAAACATAATTATTCTTATTTTATTGTCTTCCGTTTTCGTAAAAATATTAAGGGTGAGTAAAAATTTCTGCCATTAAACAATTTTTATTCGTTCCAACTGTCATTCATTTACTGTATTTTTCTTTTCATTTGGCGGTAATAACAATGAATTATGAGCTAGATGTCAATTGTTGCTTGATCTTTTTTGTTTTTTAATTATTATAATATGATTTTATTAATGAATTTTACAAACATATTCCAAGTATATTGTTTCGAATTTTAATTACTTTATCTAAACGTAACTTTTACAGAATGTTGAATTCTTTTTTATACTATTGTATTAATGTAATCTATCATTTTTGACTAGAATATTTCATTTTAAAATTTAATTATTGTATTTAAAAAAATCATTAAAAAATTTAATACAAAAAAAAATTGACATGAAAAAACTACATACATGAATACATACCACGTGTCATTTATCATTAAATTCTGAATTTAATACAGAATATATGCAAAATATATTATTTATGAGTCTGTGTTACTATTATAATATAATTTTGAATATATATTACAAATGGTTATTATTAAAATAAAAAAAAATTTGGATATTTTTATAAAATTATAATAAAAATATATTTTATGATATATCGCGTATATATTACAATAACATTTTTTTCTCATAATCGTTTTACGTTAAAAACATTTATTATAGAATAAAATTGTATAATAAAATTATATTATTATAATATTAAATATTAAATCAAATCTAATATTCGTTAATTTTAATAAAATACTAATAAATATTAAGAAATCTATAAATTATAAATATAGCTATAAATAGTTTACCAGTTATATAAAAAAATGTATCTAAAGTTTGGAAAAACTTGTAGTAACTTTGAATATATTTAAATAGTATATCCGATTTATGTTGATCGCCACGTCAGCCATATCTGAATGACAATTTCCGTATATTCTCTATTATTTCTATATGTACATAGATAATTTTTTTATTCAATTATATAATATTTTATAAAAAAATACATTATAGTTTTTAATAAAAATATGAATATTTAATTATAATAACATATAACAAAGTTACATATAAAATTACGATACATACAAAAATGTATAAGATTGTTAATTTTTGTGATATTTTTCAAAATAGTTTTGAATTATTCATATTATTATTTATTTTTATTTTTTTATAAATTTATTTCTTCTAAAATGTTCTCAGTATTATCAATATCATTATATTTAATATATATATACCTAACTCATTATAAAATTTATTTGAATAAATCCTTTTTTTTTATTTAATTTTTCTTCTTCTGTGTATATTATATATTCACAATTATATTTTTATATTCTTACAATTACAAATATTATAGACAAAAAAATAGAAACTTGTAGATATATATAGATAGAATATTATTGCAAATTTATTAGCGAAAGAAATATGATTCGTTTCTTATCGGTAAAGTTTAAAAGTTGAAAGCTATTATATTATCGATCTAATAATTTTAAGAAACGAGTCATAAATTTGTATTTAATATAAAACATATTAAATTTATTGTGACTGATCTATATATTAACAGTAATTGTGATGTAGCAACTTTAAATTTTTTTTTTATCTTAAATTTAAATCCTCTCACAGAAATTAGATTTTTCAGTTATAATTATTTTTATAATTATTTAACTTCTACGAAATATAATTTCTATAATATAAAATAAGTTTGTATTTTTAAGTTTGTTTCTATAATTTCTATCAAATTCTATGTATAATTATTAAATAAAAATTAATTATTTATATCTTAATCTATATTTATATATTTATTTTTCTCTTTCCTTCCCTCTTTTATAAAAAATAAAAATAAATAAAGTTAGAAAAAATAGTTGATTTCTTAATAATTTTAAAAATTTGTATTTCTTTCTTATATAATTATTTCTTACTTAAAAAAAGGGATATTTCTGTGATGGGATTTAAATTCAGAATAAAAAATTTGAAATTATATTCTATTTTCCATTACGTCATTTGTTGTTAAAATTGTTGCTAAAATTAAAATACTTATACATGTCAGATTCCATAATTTTTATAAACTTTATTTTATCTATAATTGATGAATTATGATTATAATTATAAATATTTGTTCTTGAAATCAAAAAATATTAAACTTGAGATTTTTTTATGAGTAACAATATGTGTGTGTGTACTTTTATAATTCCATACATTTTTAATAATTGTCTTGAACGAATTTTGATATTGATTTGTACTACATATACAATATATACATGTATTATGAATATAAATTATTTAAATCATTATTTAATTATTATGGTAACATACCAATTATTAATAAAAATTAATTATTAATAAAATAATGTATGATTTTATTATAATGAACTAATATCATAATTATTTTTTGTATTTTTAAATAGATTTCGTGATGGCCGACGAAGGATTTGATCTATGTGAATGTATATGGAACCATGAATTTGCTATGCAACGCCTACTTTCTATTGTAAGTTGCCATGATTGAAATTTGCTTGTTTATTCAAGAAATTAAAATTCTTTATTAAAATTAACGTATATTTTCATTTTTAATATATGGAAATTATTTAATATTTTATTCATTTTAAAAATAATTGTTAAAGATATTTTATCACATTTTTAAAAATTTATAAATTATTAAAAAAATAATATTTCCTTTTATTTTTATTGTTACAATATATATTTTTATAATAACAAATTTTTAACAACAATGAATGCATTGTTTCGAAGTAATCGAAAATTATACAGATGAATAATATTTAATCTGTATAATTTAATATAAGATATTTTTCATATTTTTTATATAGTAGTAAAATTTTCATTCGATTGATAAAAATATGTCACAGTAAGCAACTTTTGGGAATTTATTTTACTTTACCAATTCTTTTGCAAGAGTTACGCAATCAAACAGATATGAATAAACATATAAAATATGGTAAGAGAATGAATATATATTCGATAATGATATATAATAGTTATAATTTTATTAAAGCATTAATTTTGTCTACATGTTTATTTTTTTTTATATTAAATATATTTTTAAACTAATTACAAAATATTTTTATTCATTTATAGAGTTCTATCAATTCTGCATAAATATTTCATATGCATTTATCATTTCAGTTGCGGCAAAGCCAAAATTACTGCACAGATAATGAATGTTTTGATATGTCACGATGTAAGCATTTTTTATATTTTATTATTGATATTAATTTTTTTTAATTTAATTAAAAATTTCTATTATGTATTTTTCAGTACCAGGACCACGCGATGTTCCATCGTGGAACTTAAATTTTTTCATGATTTTATTAATTATTGTATTTGCTGTTCTTATGTATGCTCTTAGACCACAGTCTCTTCGTCATTTAAACAATGATATTGCTAAAGATCGAAACAACGAACGCGTAAGTTCGTTAATACAAATTGATTTGATCAACTTGTATATATAACTTAATTCTTATCGATATAAAATATATTTTAATTTTCGTACAATTTTTTTAGGATTCGCATGACGATCCTCCAGTACCACCACCGACAATACAATAAAGAATGAAATGATAAATGTTTTTATGTAGATTTTTATAAAAAATCTACTGAATTTATAATAATAGAGGAAGTAAAAAAAAAAATTAATTAATTTGATTTATATATGATATCTCTATGAATATATTTAATCTAACCTAAAAAGAACTGTAATTTTTTTTTTCTAATAATTTGAAAATTATATTTATACATATTAACATTCGCATTCTTCGATTTTTATTTACTAATACTAACATCTGTCACATATCGAGACTGTGTAAAAGAAAAAAAATAATTATAATTCAATGAAAATATTTTCATCAAATATCTAATTGAATTGTTAATATTATTCTATAGACTGTTGGAAATTCATTTTTTAAAAACGCATAATTGTATAAATGATATTGAAATTGTGATTGTTAAAAAAAAAAAAATAAAATTTTTTTATCATAATAATTTTTTTATAAGAATAACGTAATTAATAACAAATTATTACATAAATAATTATTAATAATATAAAATAACATAATCGTTAATAATTAATATAATTATTAATTTATGTTATTTTTATAATATGATTTTTTATCAAAATTCATTTGAATTTGTATTGCATAAAAAATAATTTCACAATTTTATAATTGAAATCATAATTTGATGAATTGAAATATTTACATATGATTTAAATTATTTAATAATTATTTTTCTTAAATAATTGTGAGTGTTGTACATTTGAATGATAACACTATTTATTTGAATGATAATAACACTACTAAAAATAACATTATTTTATATTTATTTTTATTTGCTTTTTTTTTATAAAAAAAAATTTAATACGTTAAAATTTTATTTTTTAAAAAATATATCATTATTATTTTTCAATTAAATAATAATATGCATTGCTATTGAACTTCATATATGATGTTTAATTATAAAAAATAATTATAAATATATGTATGTTTTACTAAAAAAAAACAATATATAATTAAAGATATTTTATGGAATCGATATATTATTTTCTAATGATTTATTAAAAAATTAACATTATATTATAACATATGTTAAATATCAATAACATATAAAAAAAATAACATATATATGTATATTAAAAATTTAAATTATTGACTTTATTAAAATGTAGAGTCTTGATAAATATTATTTTATTTTAATAATTTTCTTATTTTCTCTATTTTATTTATTATATTATATAATTCTATTAAAAATAAATAAATTTTTTTAGAGGGGAGATAAGAGATACACTTTAAATATATATATTGTTAAAATGCTTCTATTAATATCTTGTTATCATTATTACAAAAACACATTTTTTTCTTTATTTACATATATACATAGTTTTCCAAATTGATGAATTTATTTACTATTTATTTTCTACTTGGAAAACTAGAATGAAAATTTTAATATAAAAATTTTTTAATTAATAATTTTAATTTCATTTTCCATTGTTTAAAACTTATTTGAGCAAAAAAAAATTAATTGCTCAATTGCTTATTTATCAATAATATATTTGCTAATTATAATATGTATATGTGTAATTAAATGTTATATGGCATATGTGATATATATGTGAAAATTAATATCACATATATAACAAAAATAATTTTTCATTATTTAATTATATACATAAATGAACATAACATATTTTAGCCACAATCTAATATCATTATGTTATATGTGCACAAGTAAAATATTATAATATATAATATAATGTAAAACTCCTAAAATTAATATAATAATAATATAATGACCTACAGTGATAAGCAAAACGCATAATAGTAAAAATGTTATAAAAGAAAAAAATTATTTATACATTTATTACATATATATTATATGTATTAAGAGAAATATTTTAAATGCATATATAAAATTTATAAATTTAAGTACAATTAATATTTAAAAACAATTTTAAATACAATTTGAATTTATTACAAACCATTTTTATCATTTAAAAAATGATTATATTTTATTATGTACAAGAATTTTGCTTGTACTGATAAAAACATTTGTTAATTCTAAAATAAATTCGACTTATAAACAAAATTTATTGTAATTTATAGCAATGAGTATAATATTATAATAATATTTAAACTAATTGAAATAATTATAAAATAAAATTTGAAATCTTTTTGTTCAATATGAAATAGTTAATATTCATTTACAATATATTACGCGAGAAAATGTCATTAATTAATAGAAAAATAGTATATATTTGTACTTCTTTTATAAGTGAGGTATCATTAATTTTTTTTAAAAATTATGAATCTTTTTTTTATCTTTTCGACACAAGTAGGAAGACCAATTAAAAGGACGATTATTTTACATTGCATTTTCATAGTCCTTCTTCTTCATTAATAGATTTATGTCAGAAATATTCAATTGCAATATATTTATTATAATGATTAAAAAATGTTTAATTAAAATTGATATACTTATATTTTTTATTATTTATTAGAACAAATTATTAAAAAAAAAAAACTTCAATCATTTAGATTAAAAGAAGAAATTTATAATTACCAATATATTAGATATTATATATTAGATATTTTCTGATCTTCTGAAAAATATATAGATATGTAAATTAAAAAATAATAAAGAATAAACATATGATTTGTATATTTTTTTAATTTACAAAACACATGTTTTTACTGAAAAATTATATATAGTTTAGATTAATTATAATTAAAAATTTATTCTCTAACTAGAATTATAGTTATTCAATGAAATTTAGTGAGAAAAGAAAATATTTTTTTCTTTATATCTTAATAAGATATCTATAAATAAGATAGAATTATTGCTTATTTTTTAATGAAAAATTTATATTTATGAATTACGATATTTCTTTGATATTATGAAACCTAATTGAATATTTATGACTATTCTTGATTAAGTTTTGCCAATGTGTTTCTTACTTTTTGCAAAACTCCTGTCATTTGTTCATACTTACCTGTTGAATCCGGTAAGTTTTCGTAATTAATCACATTGCAAATATTCTTTGAAAATTTTTCAGATGATGGCAATTTATTATATGGAGATGTACTTTGTAACACAGGTGTGCCTAAGTCAATAGATTTCACACTTCCATGACTTGTATTTAATTCATTTTGACGAATATGATTTGATTCTGGAGTTGTTTCATTGCTGGATGGTAATGTATCAGATTTTGGAACTGAATTTGAAGAATTGCTTTTTAATGGAACATCTAAATTTGATTCTTGAAGTTCTACAAGTAATTGTTTTTTCATATTCTCCAATTCAAGTAATGATGGGGATTTCGTTCGCGAAGAAGGTGATATGTTATTTTCCTGTAATATTTTACATAAAATTTATCTTATTTTTTAGTATATTTTACAAAAATAACATATAGATATCTATTATAAAGATGATACATGTAACATTGTTTTATACATACTAATGGTTTAGAAAATTGTAATTCTTGAGAATGATAATCTAAATCTTCAGATATTATTTGTGATGCTGGTAATGGTGGTTCAGGTGGTTTCAGTGGGGATTCTGATGGTAATGGTGGCACAAATAATCCATTAGAAGGTATATATTCTACCACACTTTCTATTTAATAAAAAAAAAATATTTTTATATTATATAGAATGTATTATTTGAAAGATCAATTCTGAAGATTAAAACAAATACAAAAATTGGTATACAAAAATGTCTATTAAAACTTATTTATTAAAATTAGTGTAATTAATGTAAATTTATAATAAATAATTTATAATAAATGATAAATGCACTTTAATTAAAATTTTTATATATTTTTGTGTTTGTTTTGTTTTTTAGAATTAATATTTCAAACATATTCCATGATATATTATATTAACATCATATATTTTAAATATTATTAATATGTAAATTTTAAAAGAACAAGATATATTTTCTATACCTTCTGTATCTTCAATTTCCATTTCACTAGGTTGTGGTGCTGGACTATCATTTGATACATTATTAATAGTCTTGAGTTTTTTCCTCTTATATCCATCATCTGCTTTCTTTCCTCTTAATTGTAATAACATTCTTTGCTTACTATTAATAGTTAACATCCTTGATATCCAATATTGTCCATCCTCCTATTATTTATAATTTATAATATAATTCGAGAAATTTAATTTTAAAAACATATTACATTGTATTATGAAATTTGTTTATCTTACATCGCGGGTTCCAGGTGGAGCTGGTACATTAAAACCAGGAAAATCATATATTTTTTTTATATCATACTGATCTCTATCACCTTCTTCAATAATAGATCCTGGTTCATCATTAGGATCTTCTACTGGAATACCATCAGAATTAAATAAAGACAAACCAGAATGTTGTAAACGTGCTTCCTCTAACCATCCTGGAGGATAACCAAGCATTCTCATTCTAGAAAAAATATTTTAATATAGAAAAATTATAAAAAACTCTTTTTTTAATTTTTATATTAAAAGTTATTTTATTTATATTTCTATTTTATATAAAATTAATAATTATTTTTATATTTTTTTATTTTTAAATATTATAATTTCATCAGAAATTAAGTATACTAATTACCTATATATATGTCTAGGTAATTCATTACTTCTTAAACCTAGTGCTCTACGTAAATTATTGCTTAATTGACCAGGAATTATATGACCAAATCTCTGATTATCTTCCAAATGATATCTAACAGTTCTCGTATTTTTCATATTGAAATTTTTTCTATTTATTTCTATATTAGCATAATTTCTTGGTTCTGGACAATCCCGTAAATTATGATTTTCCAAACAATTAAAACACATCATTCTTGAAGATGGACAATCAGTCTTTAATTTTATATCTGATTCTAATATTTCTTTATCAAATACATTTTCATATTTCTAAAATAATTATTAGTAATTATTATTAAAATTTAAAAAATTAAAATATTAAAAACTTAGCAGCAATAAAATACTAACAAACATTTACTTGTTTGGAATAATAAATCTCATATATCACTAAATTAATTTAAATAATGAATATTAATAAAAAAATATTAATAAAAAAACAGACCTTCCCATAAGTTGGAATATCAAAATCATCTTTAAGTTTTGGTTGTTTATCTACAGTAAATAATGTATCACATATTATATCTTGACTATCTTCACTTTCTGTAGTAATTTCAATAGACTGACTTATAGAGTCAGTATCATTATCCCAAACTTCTAATGTTAAACCATTATCATTTTCTTGACATCTAATTTTGCAAGATTCTAATTCTTCTAGAAATTCTTTAATTTTTTTATTATATTGCCTAAAAATTTAATAAAGGAATAAAAATAAAAATTATTTCAGCAATAATTGAATAATTGTTTCAATATATGTATTAATTATACTCTAATTATACTCTATTTACAATCAAAATAATGTTTTTTTTATAGATGATTTTTTTTATCATATACAATAAAATATGTATATTTAATATACATATAGTTAAAATTATATACAAAATAGTTTATTCATTTTATGTGAAAATTTATAGTAAATTATATATAAAAATATTTTATAAATACTGTAGTTTCTTACCGTGAAATACTTTCATCTCGAAACATAACCTTCAAAAGAGGTTTTGATGTACTTGCGCTATCGCATGTTACTCTCATAGATGTATTCTTATTATTATCCACATAATCACTAATTATGTTCGTCTTCTTCGCATTGTTGTTCGATAATGAATTTTTTTCAACCGAATATTCACTTTGGTCATTGTCAGTAACATTGATGGCATCTTGGCTTGAGTCCAAATCAATCACCTCTTCGTCGGTATCTTCGATAGTAATCGTAGAATTCATGGAAATACTATCGACACTGGAACGAGAACATAGATGAAACAGTTATATAAATGTGTAATTTTATCGAACGAAAACTTTTTCCTCTTTCAAACTTTTGTCTTAAAAAAAATACGATACTCCAATCCTGTGAAGTTTCCCAAACGCAATAAAACTTAACTGTAGAGGCGCTCTAATTCGTGAATAAACATACGTAGAATAGTTTTTTTTTTAAATTTAATTGAAAACTATGATTAATTTAAATATTTCTTTAAATAATTTTATTATTAATATATTTTTTATTTAATAATTATTGATATTAGAAATACAAATTTTTAAATATATTTTAGACAACAATCAAAAATATTTGTATATTTTATTACATATATAATATTTTTAATAAAAAAAATATATATTGCTCGTGTGTTTTAAAACTAAAAATTAATTATATTATATCATATATTTCTAAATTATAAAATATAAAAGTTTGATTGTTTTAATAGATGGCACTATCAGTGTATCAAATTTACATCAGTTAATTTTGGATGTAATAAAAATTTTGATAATTTGTATTCTTAAACTTGTATTAATGCATTAAATTTTTAGCTTTTTTTAGTTTATTTTCATCACATTGATATTAAGTGATATTTTAAAACGAACAATGAATCATAAAAGATAATCAAATATTAATCAATTTAACATTTAATATATTAAAAAATTGTTTTCAAAATTCAAATGAAATATTTGATAAATTTTATGATGGTTTTCTTAAAACATATTAAAACTTCATATACTCGACGTAAAATAGAAAATTCAAAAAGAAATGGTTTGCGACATACTATTTTCAGCCCCCGAAGTAAAAGTTATTATATAGGTGAATGGAAAAATGACATAAAAGAAGGTAGAGGTAGAGAAGTGAACAGGTATATTAATTATTGTGTTGATAAATATAATAATTATATAATTACTATAAATAAGACTAAAATTAATTAAAAATATTTATTATTATTATTATTTGTCTTTTATTATTTATTTTTTGGTTTTTGACATGCTTAAAAAGAATTTATTTTGAAATTTCATAGAGATGGTTGGATATACGATGGTAGTTGGCTTAATAATAAAAAACATGGTTGTGGTATTTTAAGCAAAATTTCAAAAGAAGATCATAAAATTCGCCGATATTATATTGGCGAATGGGTAGCTGGAGCAAAACAAGGATTTGGATATAATTGGTTCGAAGATGGTAGTTATTATGAAGGTGATTTTTGTCGAAATAAACGACATGGCTATGGTCGTATATGGTATTGTAATGGAGATTATTATGAGGGAGCTTGGAAAAATGATCTTTATCATGGTTTAGGAATATTCATTAAAGGTTTCTAAATTAATATCTGTTCTTTTTGTAGTTGATTTTTATCTTTTATAAAAATAATGTAAATATATAAATTAAAAAAATAACTTATCAAATAGAACAATGATTGTAATTTTAAAAAAATAGATATTCCTTACGTTATATCTTATTATAAAAATTAAATATTTAATATAATTTTTATAGATAATGGCAATAAATACGAAGGTCAATTTGTTAAAGGCAAGAAAGAAGGTTACGGCACATTTTATCATATAATTACTGGTCAAGAGCAGCATGGTTTTTGGATAAGCGATTTATTTATAAATGGCACTATGTTGGATGCAGATTTTCGACAATGTGCATCTCATCCGACGCCATATCCTATTCCACAAGTATAACGATTATAAATAAAGTTTCTATAATTTATATTCCTTATAATTTTTCTTGATTCAATTTTCTAGATTAAATTGATATCGCATATCAAGAATTCTCAAGATATTTCTGAAATCAAAGATCAAAAGAAAGAATTACCTTATACTGAAGGTTTGTGTAGAAAGATATCAAAGCGTATAATCGCAAATATATGTGTATCTAGAAATACATGTTCTTGTTTAAATTCTGTTTTATAAATAAATATATTTATTTTTTAAAATAATACATAATACAAATTAAATCGATATTATTTATATAATTTATTGTAGCAAAAGTACTTCAATTTTTGCATATTTTTTCTATCAACAAATATATATATATATATATATATATATATATAAT